AAGGACAAAGCAGCTCTTTTACCATCATTGATATAATACATAGCAATTTCCTCTTGAAATATATTTAAATTATGTTTGGTCAATTGAGAAGTATAATTGTGAGAATTCTGCAGTTCTTGCTCGAACATGCAACAGACAGCACAGGCATTGTAAACAAATATAATTTTGAAATAATTGTATGATTTTAATTCCTGTGTGATTCTGAAATAAGATAGAGCCCAGAAGCTCATTAGAATTAATTTCAATAACTGAGACTTAAAATAATAAACTATTTGAAGTAATAAAAAAGGCAATCTTCACTTTTTATTAAATTTATATATAGAATTCTTAATTCTTCTAAGTAGGCCAGAAGGATAGACTTAAAATTCTTGAATGAATGTTTAGATGTGGGCAAAGCCTCACATCTTTAAAGAGTTATCGTTTAGGATTTTTAAAAATTCATGTGTTGTTTTAAACCCATGAGAAGGTGTGCCACTCATTTCAGACATGCAACACAAAGAGTCATGTGAAACAGCCCTCCACTATTGTGAGACCAAGGCATTTTTGTGACACAATTAAGAATTCATTTTCTCCAATGAGGATTTTGAAGATCATTTTCAAATTCAGTTAAGGAAACTGTGTGAATCTTTTAAAATTATTTTTTAAAAACCAGCCATCTCTATAATATATTTGTTCTGAAAAAAATTGTATTGTAAAAGTATTTTTGTCTTGCTACTTTAGACCCTGCTTTTATTGCGTACTTCATCACATTTTGATGTTAAGACACTTTATATAGAAGGCTGTGTGGTTTTTTGAGCCATAAAAGTACATCCAGAGTTTTTAGTATCTCATATGAAGACTCTATTGTTTCTTTTCTGATAACCAACATCTAGAAGTGAAGACCTTAGGCCATTCATCAATATGTTCCTATTTTTGGAATAAAGAATTCCAAGTCATAACTACCATTTTGCCATTTCCATCCCATTGTCCTAGCTGCCAGAATTGTTTTCACTTTCTGCTCCTTGCAAGTTTAAAATTCTCTCTTCACTGTATTCATACATATTGAATTTAACTTTGAACATCTACATTGGTATAAAATCAATGCAATAAAATGGTTTAGCTTGTAAAATTGTTCTGATTATCACAGGATTATCTACAAACAAGTTTTTCTATAAACTTAACTATATCACTGACGAAAACACCTCAAAAATCCTTTTAGAACTCTAAGCTGATTTGCATTTTTATTATGAGCTGTCTAAATAATTTAACAGTGTGGCTCTGTTATACACCAAACACAGGTATAGAATTCAGCTTGTTAACTTAAACAGGCACTACTGCTTTTTTGTCCAGAAAAAGCCCAAATTCTGTCCGTAAATCTACTCTTTCCTGCAAGGCAGAAAAGGTACACTATTAACCATTTGAGAAGTCAGGCTCTGATAGTGTTGATTAGTTGATCTTTTCTGTTACAAAGGGTACACAGAAACCTGCACAACAGGTTGTGGGAGCTTGTTTCACACAAGGCTTTGTCTCATTGCAATTTTCAGAATTAACCTGAAACTTGAAACTTTTACTGAGAAAGGCCAGTTCTAGTATATCATCTTCCCAGTCTTGGGAAGCACTAAAACCTGCCACACACAAAGTAGTGGATGGTTGTTGGAACACTGCACACCTTCCAAAGATTTTAGTACCTCCTACTTGGTTCAGCACTTTATTTTGATGCTTTGTCATTTTGCCTATTTTTACATCATCATTGTATGCTGCTATCTCACTGTTTCAAGCCCGTGAATGTTGGTTCTAAGAAGCTAATTCAAAGAGGACAAAGTTACCTTGCCAAATTTGAATTTTCTGTTTCAAGAATTTTGTTAATTAAACCTTGTCAAATGGGATATTATACCCATTATCTAGTTATTCTAACTCAGAACAGAAAATAAAGTTCGATCTTAATTTATTCTAAAATCAAGAGGGACGAGTAAAATCACACTGTCTTGCATTCATTATCAAACCCTACAATTTGTCTAAATTTCTTCTTTTTCTGTGTGAACAAAATCAATTTTCAGTAATATCTGTGAAACAACTACTACCATATCTATATTTCAAGCAAGGAAACTGAGTTCAGAGACAGGTTCTCATGTCTTGGGCATGACTGCATACAGATCAATAGCTGTGCTAAGATTAAGGCTGAAGAATTAGTAGCTGTTGTGTGTTGACCCATTTCAACATAATAGACTAGCAGGGCACATTTTTTTTCACATTGCAGAAATTCCTTCTGTAAACTGCAGTGCTGGGAAACCCTGTAATTATTCACAGAGCACATTAGGACAAAAAAAAAGATAATTTTTGGCTCAACTGGTTTACGTGGAACTTCAGAAACTCACTCTCACTACCAATAATATTCATTCAAACAGCCATCTTAGGTCACTTGTAGTGCTTGGATGGTAGTGGAACAGATAATCAAGCCCTTATAGCATAACATAAGGACTAGTTCTTATAGCAGCCTCAGAAACCCCTACCAGGCTCAGTGAGGCTTTGTACTAGTGCAGGGATTAATTCATGTGGAACAAATTGCAGAACTGTGGCCTAAGTAAGAAACCGGTCTAGCTCTATTTGCTTGTTACCCAGTTGTCAAAATGTAGTGCTCATTAAGTGCAGAAACAAAAGGTCCAGATGGATTCTTTATATCTGAGAAATGTGTTTCTCATATGAAAAGGAAATAATGAGTAACATAGCAGCAGAATTTAAAACTTTGTTGAAAAGAAGGGAACTCTTGGGCAGGTCTTTTAAACAAGAATAATTCAGAGGTCTTTCTTCTATTCATTCTATGATGTAATTTTACCCCAAAAGAGAACGGTTTATGCAAAATGCACTTTAGTTACCTGAGACTATAGAACATGAGTGAGACTAAACCAAAAGCCTTCTAGTCCTATCACTCTCTTCCATAACACAAACTCCATGCTTGGTGTCATTTGCACTCCAATTACTTTTCTCTCCATCCTGTAACACTATTTTCTATAACACCATTCTATTTTCTGTTGTACACAAGATATTTCTGGACTCCTCTAGCTTAACCAACCTTCCAAAGTCCCTAAATCTTGATAAAACAGAGGTCACTAAATTGAGAGTTACAGGTGTTTCCTTTCACCAGCAGATGTCAATAATCTGGTGTAGGAGACATGACAGCATATTTTAGCTAGCAAAATTCGGCATGAAGATATTATCTACTCTATGGAAGTACCAATCAAAAATCTGTCTTTAGATAAAAGCAAAACCACATTGGAACTAGCAGTTGTCAAAATTGTTCAATGCTACAGCATTTTCAGGATGTACTCAGGTTCTAACACAATCTAGAATGGAGCTCGAATGCTCTGCTAACATAACTGAGGAACAGTTTCATAAAACACTTTATGAAACCTGTGTCTGCTTATCTTTCAAAAAGAGCAATCCCACTCTTCTCTAAGGCACATATCTATCAGTGAAGGCACCAAGGCCTGTGTAGCCATACAAAATGATTGCATCAGGGAATTGACCTGGCTGAAAATTAACCCAGTAAAACAAATTCTTTTGCTGCAAACCCACTGTGGTTTGCAGCAGGATCAATCCCCTGATCCAGCTTTCAGTTAACCCAAGTGCCAATACTAGACAATGGGTAAGAACATGGAGTCATGAAGGGAAAGGAGAGATAGCTGGGTTTCACCATCTATATGGTTAATGTGCTCCAGATAAAGCCATGTGTTATTTGGCTGGGTATAAAAGTCCTACATCAGATAGGCACCAAGCCATTTAACAGTTGCAAATTGCAACTGGTCACTCAGCTAACCAAATAACTAAATAAACATGAAAACAAAGCAGTTGGTGGCAAATATAGGACAAAGTCTTCAAAGTTGTAGCTGGGAAGTTTAGGTTTCCACACCTGAGCCCATCTGTGGCTTCCATTTGTAAATGTATCTCAAGCATCATTTATCTGTTCCCAGCAAGATAAAGGGATTCAAGCATTCCCTTGCTCCTGTCCCTCAGGCATTGAAACCCACAACTTAATCACCCAGTAAGACCTTTCAACCCTGATTATCTGCCTCTTTGCAAGTGTCAGTATTCCTGAAGGTAGGCATGTGTAAAGATGCTTACCTCTTGCTTCTTTTTGACTGTGAAAAGACTAAACCACAAGGGAATTCTCAAATAGGTCTGTCCTGGTTATCTCGTTCCATCTGAAGCCATCTGCAGGATCAGGCCCAGCAGAGTAAGCAGGCATGGACAAGACTTCTGACGACTGGTAGCTAGTATGTATATGCATTGCATATACTCAAAATCCCAGAATTCAAGACACTTGGCTGCAGTAGCAGGGATTGTTTCCTTTTCATAAGCACTCAAGATATACTTTTAACAGTAATCCAGACTTTAGAAAACAGCAGCACAAAAATCCTTCTGAAAAACTGCCCTGATTCTGGCCAGGAGAGGGTTAATCTTTGCAGTAGTCAGGAGAGGGCTTGGCCAGGACCCAGAGGTTATTCTATACTACCTGATGTCATTTTTGGGGTGAAGGGAAGGGGCCCCTTCTGGTTTATGGAGTGTGTTGGGGATTTCTGCATGGTGAGCACTTGTGTGTGAATCATTCACCTCTTGTACCCTTCGTTATTAAAATTATTACTGTACTTTTTCTAATTTCATTGCTGTCTTCAGGGAATTGTTTTTGTCTCAATGCATGTCTACACTTTCTGCCTCCAGTTCTCCTCTCTATCCCACCACAGGGGGAGGGAGCAGGGGAGCAGGAGACTGAGCAAGTGGGATGTGGCTTGTACTATTTCACTGGGAACACTAAATTGGGAGCACCATTCCTAAACCATGACAATAATTTAACATTTTCAGAAGGCCTACTCATAGTAGTAGATGACTCCAGAGAAAGTAAATCAGTGTAGTAAAAACCACGGGTTACAATTAGATATGTCTGGAAAGTACCTTATACATATTAATGTTCAGATGTTACAACTTCTTTAAAAGACTGATTAATGATCATTTTTCCCTCCCTTCAGGTGTAATCCTGGGATTTTCTCTTCGACCATATAAGATGAGTTATCGGGAAGTGAAGTACTTCTCGTTTCCAGGAGAACTACTCATGAGAATGCTGCAGATGCTGGTCCTGCCACTAATTGTATCCAGTCTAGTCACAGGTAAACAAAAACAAAACAAAAAAAACCCAAAACACATCTCCACCCACCCTCTTTTAAACAATTTTATAAAGATGCACACACCAAAACCAAAAAAGGGGACATTCTATGTCCTAGACATAGCATTGTTATTGCTGCTTTAGAGACAATGTAATAAGAGGTTTGAATTAACATACAAAGAAACGGAAAGATCTTCTTCCAAATTCAGAGACAGACTAACCATACGAGCTACTGTATGTAGTTGCTATGAAGCTGACTCTGTACTCCACTCAGATACTTCCTCCACTGTGTCCTGTTGTTGTCAAAGATAACATATCTCAAAAACACTGCGCCAAATCCCAAGAAAGTTGAAACTATTGATTGTGGGAAATAACACATACCTGTAACCCACAGATATGCAAAACATTTGTCTGCCTCCTAGGCTTCCAGCAATAGATTAGAAAAAAAATGGAATCCTATAATAGTATTGTTTGGGTTGGAAGGAGCCTTAAAAATCTGGTTCCAGCCCAAGGACAGGGACACCTTCCACTAGAGCAGGTTGCTCAGAGCCCCATCCGACCTATTCTCCAGCACTACCAGGGATGGGTCATCCACAACTTCTCTGGGCAACCTGTGCACTTACAGTAAAGCATTTATTTCTGATATCTAATATAAACCTACCTTTTTTAGTTTCTCCTCCTCTACCACTACAAGCCCTCTTATAGGCCCCTCAGGTACAGGAAGGTGTTCTAAGGTCTCCCTGGGACCTTCTCTTCTCCACGCTGAGCCCAATGCTCTCAGCCTGTCCTCATGAGAGAGGTACCTCAGCTCTCTGATCATTTTCATGACTTCCTCTGGACCCACTCCAATGTGTCCATGTCCACAGGGGATAGATGGGATTGTATGGAAAGTTTGGAAGAAATTTAATTCTATCAGTTCTGTTTTGTGGTCTCTGGTCAGCAGCTCTAATAATCTTTGATTGCTCTTTACCAAGTTGTTCCTCTAACTAGTGATATAATATTTTATTTCTTATGGTGATGTATGCCTTGGCATTCCACCCAAGTTTCATGGAAGACCTCTCAGTTATGAATGTTTAGGATGTACCTGTGTGTATTTATTCCACCAGTTTTCTGAAGAAAAGAAGGTATGGATTTTAGTCTACCAACAAATCAGCTCGGAGAACTTAATTAAAATTTCCCATTGTGCAGTCCTAGGATCTAAAACACAAATACACTACCTTGATTGGCAGAGGATCCAGAGACTATAAGTTGTTCTCTACATAATTGATTGTCAAATATGTTAATATTAAGATCTCTTAAAAATGCAAATGAGCACAGACACATCTTCACAGAAACAGAAGATAGTATGTACGAGCATAAGCTGTTAATGCAATGGCAGAAAACTAGGGTATTCACAATTACAAAATCGTTTGCCTTCTCATGTCTCAAGAGAAAAGTGAAGTTTGTTTCGATGAACACACATTATATGGATACTGAAAGTTAAATGAATACTGAAACTAGGGAGTATAAGTTTTGTAGGAAAAATAACGGTAGGTTTTCTTTCCACCCCCTATATAATTCTGTTACATGCCATATGCTCCCCCCTCTTCTTGTCCCTTTCACCTCCAGAGCTCCCTGAGTTGGCAGGACACTGATAGAAGAATCATTAAAAATAGAAAAGGAGAGGTATTTACCCTTTTTCAGTGTCAGCTGTCACTGCTGTTCAATTTTGCAGGGGGAATTATTTCAGGAGAATATATCTGATCAATTCTCAATTCCTTATAACTCTGCAATCATAATGGTTCTCTGAGAGAGCTCAGGTAAATCAGGAAACTAAGTAGATCATCCCATGCAAGGAATTGAATGATTTTCAATAATCTAAGTAGAAAAATTTCACTCAGGTAAAGATCAGCAAATTCATCTTAGAAAGTCACAAGCATCACAAAGAGCTGGACTTTTGATAAAACAAGCTCATTTGCTGTGTCACCAGATCTCAGTAGAGTTTTTGTGAGATATCAGAAAAATTAGTTTCCAAGTAATCCTATTCTGAAAAGAATCTTCATTCTCTGGATTCAAACAATACCCTTCTTTTTTGATGTGTTTTTCTTCCCCTTTAAAGCCTTTTATCCTTTTCTTTCATAACAATCATTTCCTTTATTATAGAAAAGCATTTGGCAAAGAGAAATCTTCTCTATTGGTAAGATTTGCTCTATTATCATACAAATGCCTTGTAATATTAAGTGGATTATACTGAGTTCCCTTTGAAGTAGAGGTAGACATTTTCCAGGTGAATAAGAACATTTTAAACTTCTTTAGCTGGATAGAGAGCAATTAGAGTAAGCTCAACGCAATTCACAAATGGCAGATTTAGTTTCTATTTAAGAATCATTCAGTACAGCAGGACTATACCCTTGTTCATGGGAAAAAATACTTTCCTGAATGATTCTAAAAATTGTGGATAAAAACCTCTTTTCTACACTGAACCATTTCTCATTTAACATACAAATTGTATTTGTAAAAAGGATATTTTTGCATATTTGCTGCAGAACACTCATATACAAATGAACATACAGGCATTAATGAATATCAAAATAATAATTAAATATAACCTATGCAGGTGTACTATTGTGCAATTTTATGTATGTTTGGATTCTTTTTTTACATGTTATAGGATAATTCACTGCATACAAGTCTTATCCTTCTCAAGTTAGTCTCAAGACCACTCAGTATATTGAAAGCAGATCTCTTATTTCCTATGGTTTTCTTGGCAAACAAAGTGGATGCTTCTTACCTAATCTCAAAGTGACTCCTCCAGGTCTTCATTTTGATAACATACTTTTTTCTTCCAATTGTTAATTATATGAATAAATATTTTGCTGTCTGCAGGAGCGACAATATCTCCTAGCTATGACATTCTGGGTTTCCTTTTGTATTTATGCTAGTGTGATGGATGTAACTGTGGCAAAACCATAAACTGTGGTCTCTGTGTTATTAGAAATAGGCTGGGAAATTACATTCCCTTGAAAACTTTGTGAATGTCAAAGAAATTAGAACAATAAAATCCAACTAATAAGTAATGCACTGTTATACAAATAAAAGATAAATTGAGAAAATGAAGACTTCTGCTATTCAGGCAAACAGTTCTGATAGCTATCCACACATGTCAGGAAAATAAACTACGTAAGATAAAGTCAATCCAGTCACATTTCTTTACCCCTTCATGAAAGAAGCAATGCAGGATCACATTCAGAGTTTTTAAATCACATTTGCCTTATGACTTACCACCACTGCCCATGGCTCAAGCAGCTGTGCAGCTTTCTCCATGAGATTCTATCTTCTGACGTGTGTTTTACCAGACATGTACTAACATCTGCTTGGGAGAAAATGGAGGTTGTTTGCATACCATTCACCCTCTTTTCATGTTTATAGTAAAATATTATATGCATGCCTATATTATTTATTTTTGTGGTTTAGGCACAAATTCAGCTGCATATTCTATGTTGGGCTTCATTGTCTACAGTCTTTAAAATGAGAGAATTCCTAAGCCAGCATTCCCAGCTGGGATCTCATATAAATTCAAGGGCAAAATTAAAACATGGTATATGAGAGAAAATATAAATAACCAAATAAATACATTCCCATTTGGATTGTATTATGGCTAAGTCTTTAATATGAATTTAAATATGAATTCCTCTACAAACAGAGGGCTGACAGTTTTGCTCTGCTTCCGTTTTGAATTTGCAGCAGTTATAAGAGAAAAAACGTTTTATGCTTTCTCATTTCATTACAGTTTGAAGCATCTGACATGAAAATTGCTTGAAACAATTATTTTAAAATATACATTGTACGTGAATGGTATATAAAACAAATATATATGCATATGATAACCATTCAACTCATCATGAAGTAGCCAAAGCTAGAAAAAATTTCACTAGCAATAAAAGCACTATGCATTAACATTTTTTGAGCTGTTACAGCAAGATGACCATAAAATTTAAAGTTCAGTCCTTAAAATTGGCCCACAAGTTTTTTCTGCATGTTTCAGTTATTCACTGACTATAATGCTGTCAGAATGAGGTATCTTTTCTTAATAAAAACATTTATTTGCTGAAATCCCTTCCACTAAAATTATTAACAACCATTCACAATTTACAAAGACTATAGTTTTAATATAATATTAAGAGTGGAGAAATTTTTTAAATTTGCAAGTATTTTGCGCAGTTCTGGTTTAATAGACTGATTGCTACTCCTTCCACAAAATCTTGAGAGCTTGGAATTTACCTTTACAAGAACAACTACTTTTAAATGTAAGTGAACTGATATTAAATTCTGTGCATTTCTTTCAAATATCTTTGTCTGGTAAATCATAGCAAAGCACAAAAAGCCCATTCAAGGCCTGACCCTTTGTTTTGCTACCCATTGCAGAAACCGTAAGACTACTGTTTATTTACTAATATACATCAACACAGGAAAGGAGAATAGGAGTATAGAAACAGTAAAACTGGGGTCTGCTGGCTCACCAAAGATTATACAGAAACCATAGAATCAAGCAAAGACCCCACTTGTGAATACCAGTACAGAACACTGTGCACTAGACAATACTGATTGTCCAAACTGTTTATGGGAGCAACACTGATGTGGTGCAAATGAGTCTTAACCACTTACCAAGATTTTGTGTGCAAGGCTCTGTACAAACACAGACCGTGAATCTCCTGCCAAAAAAATAGAAGGCTGTGTGGAAAAGCAGATTAAAAGAACCAGTATGGAAAATTAACTTCAAAGAAGAAGTAAAGTTTTAATATGCAGTTTGTGTAATATCTTTATATTCACTCCCTTTTCTAATTCAAACAGTGATGTAACTACTGTTAGTGGGTTCTGGAAGACACAGAAACTTCCTTGCCTCTATAGGGTTTCAATATCAATCAACAGCACTGACTACATGAGTGATTTTGTTTGGGGCAGATTCAGAAACACAAGGTTTTTTTCCTGAAACTTTATGAAAATGGTCATAGTAGTTACTGCTAC